TGAAGAGCTGCTGAAGTCGACCTTATCGACGTTAGAGGATGGTGCGATGATGGAGGGCAGGATGATGCCATCACCCTCTTCCCCAACTAGGAAGAGACGACGTTGGATATTTGTGACCTTAAGTACTAAAACCTAATCTGAATGTATTGAGTTTACAATATGATCCGTGTATACACTCAATAGTTGCAGCTCTGTAGAAGAGGACATTATTTTGAGTAAACATGCCCTTACCAGTTGGGCTCTGAGAGGCGAGTTCCTCTTTCTTTGCAGCGGTAGGAACAATGGGTGGTGGCGGAGGAGGCATAAGCTTAGAATCAATATCCTCGCAGTCGGCATCGTAGTCTTCCTCATCATCTAAGATTACAAATGTTTTGAAAATGTTAACAATCCAACAGTTTAACAGTATTTTGTCATCCGTGGTAGTGATGATGAAAATTGTGGTAAAAAGCAATATGGTAGGAAAACATTTTAGAACCAAAAGGTGTTGGTTTGACTTTGCAAAATGTTGTGGAAAATGTGTTTTAATTAGGGCTGTCAGTCGATTAAAATATTTAAGCGTGATTAATCGCATGATTGTCCATAGTTAATCGCGATTAATCGCACATTTTTTATCTGTTCTAAATGTACCTTAGAGGAATATTTTTCAAGTTTGTAATACTCTTATCAACATATGAGTGGACAAATATGCTTTATGCTAATGTTTATTATCATTTGAACAATGACAAATATTCTCATGAATATTAAACACAACAACCTCTGAACATTACAAATATTCGCCTCAATTCAACCTGGAACCTAATACAATAATACAATACAAATGGTGTGTGTGTGTGTGGTCTAGCATTACTATACTTGTGGGGACCTACATCTGTTTACATAGTCACGTGTGGGGACTGGCTTCCCTTATGGGGACAAATTGGAGGTCCCCATGAGGGGAATCATTAATTTTTAGGGTGAAGACTTGGTTAGGTTTAGGGTGAGGGTAAGGTTAAGGGTTAGGGTTAGGCATGTGTTGGTTATGGTTAAGGTTAGGATAAGTCTCCAGGAAATGCATGTAAGTCAATGTAATGTGATGTATACATGGTATGTGTGTGTGTGTGTGTGTGTGTGTGTGTGTGTGTGTGTGTGTGTGTGTGTGTGTGTGTGTGTGTGTGTGTGTGTGTGTGTGTGATGGATCGTTGGAGCTATGTGCAACTCAAGGCATATGCTCGAACGGGAGCTGCCTGGACGCTGCAATCATGTTGCGCACTATCCGTGCTGAGTGTGCTGACTTTTCGTACAATGTCCCACTGTCTGGCTTCCTGCATAAAGTCAAGTGCTCGGCGCAGTTGTGGCGAAATTTCGTTCCTGTTTTCATTTAAACAGCTCCTTATATCCGTTAGCGCAGCTAGCTAGCACCAGATGCTAACAACAACAATACACTTAAGGTCTCTCTCTCGCTCGCTCGGGCCACACATACACACACCCTCCCGGTCCTCCAGATGGCCAGTCGGTGCCTGCCGGTGAGCGTGGAAGTGTGGTCTGCCACAAGCGGGCAGCAGGAGCGGGCTGTCAGCATCAGCTTGTAGATGGTATTTTAAACTCGATGCGCTCTGAAACTACGGGGCGGCCGAGGAAAAAAAAATACACATGCTATAATCGCGTTAAAATAATTAGTGGCGTTAATGCGCCATTAGATGGCCCACAGGGCCATCTCCCAAAATCTGGGATTTTTGCTCACCGTTCTTGTGATCATTTTGACCCCACGGGGTGAGATCTTGCGTGGAGCCCCAGATCGAGGGAGATTATCAGTGGTCTTTTTTGTCTTCCATTTTCTAATAATTGCTCCCACAGTTGATTTCTTCACACCAAGCTGCTTACCTATTGCAGATTCAGTCTTCCCAGCCTGGTGCAGGTCTACAATTTTGTTTCTGGTGTCCTTTGACAGCTCTTTGCTCTTGGCCATAGTGGAGTTTGGAGTGTGACTGTTTGAGGTTGTGGACAGGTGTCTTTTATACGGATAACGAGTTCAAACAGGTGCCATTAATACAGTTAACTAGTGGAGGACAGAGGAGGCTCTTAAAGAAGAAGTTACAGGTCTGTGAGAGCCAGAAATCTTGTTTGTTTGTAGGTGACCAAATACTTATTTTACCGAGGAATTTACCAATTCATTCATTAAAAATCCTACAATGTGATTTTCTGGATTCTTTCCCTCCATTCTCTCTCTCATAGTTGAAGTGTACCTAGGATGAAAATTACAGGCCTCTCTCATCTTTTTAAGTGGGAGAACTTGCACAATTGGTGGCTGACTAAATACTTTTTTGCCCCACTGTAGTTGCATTTTTAAAGATGATATCAGTTTTTTAACAATCAACCACAAATGTGAGTCTTAAGGGCTGTGTGTGGATCACCTGTTTGCCTGCTGGGCTGCAGAGACCACATGGCCTGACGGTATTTATTTGTCTCATCCTCCGCAACTTCACTGATGTCAGAATAATCCACAGCATCGTCTGTGCTTTTCACCCAACCTTAATGAGGAGAATAATATGAATGTCAATACATCCTGTTACTCAATAAATGAATGCAAGATTCATTTTTTTATATTCAAACAGACCATCTGCGTCCACATTCGTAGAATCTCTGCTGACGTCTTGATCATCCTCCTCATTTGCAGTGATCTCTGTAATGAGTGAGCTCAGACCAAGAGAACCCAAACCAGCTAAATGCTTTTTGGACTCCTGGGTGAAAATAAACAACAGAAATAGATCAGAAAGATGCAACAAGCTGTGATACAGTAAACAGTAAGCTGTTTAAATGTATTAATAATAGGGAGTGGCTATATACAGGACGGTCCTGTACACAACGCCAAATGACTATATACAGGACCGTCCTGTACACAACGCCAAATGGCTATATACAGGACCGTCCTGTATATAGCCATTTCAGAGAGCTGTGTACAGGACGGTCCTGTATATAGTCATTTGGCGTTGTGTACAGGACCGTCCTGTATATAGCCTCGGCCATTAATAATATACATCAATTCCATCGTGAACCTAATAATCGTTGTTTAATTGCTATGATTGATTGATTGAAAAGTTTATTAACAGCTTGTATATTGGGTACAGTACAGTACAGCTCAAAACATACAATTGTTAAGGGGATGCAGACCAGAGAAAGACTTTCGTCTTGTTTACATCAGGGTCCCCCATTTCCAATTCATCATATGCATGATGATACTACCTAAAATGTAATGTTAAATGTTGCATTGGTAATCTTAAAACACCCACATCGTCCAGCACACTGTCATCCTCTAGCTGCCCATCTTCGTTGATGTTTCCAAAGAGGAAGCCAGTTATAGAGAAAGGGCGATCTTGGTCCTCATCGCTGTCTGAATCAGACATACTAAACGGAAACATTTTCAGTTTAGTGACAGGCATCTCAGTGATTGGTGAATTATCCTGAGCAATACATTCATACTGAAATCCATCAGGATGCATGTTTATCATTTATAGACTGTATATATAGAATGAAATAACTTGGAATAATCATTCCTACTTGGCGTTGCTAAATACTAATACATACATTTCTAGCATTTATGTTCCAAGAAAACGTTTAAACAATGTTGACAAATATTTGTAAACTAATATTAGTATTACAAATGTGGTATGATGTGATGCACATTTTGTGGTGTGCCAATCACGCAATTGTAGTAATGCTAGTGAGAGGATGTTCTTACCATGACAATATGGACCATAAACAAATAAACTGCTCAAATGAACTAACAGATTTTAGGCAAACTCCATATCATCTGTATTGCAATGGTATATAAGCGTTATAGCGTTAGCTAGGTGCGTTCGTTAACATAAGTTGTGTAAGTAACGATTCATATAATGTACTATGATAAAAACTAAATATCATAAATGTATAAGATGTACTTACCTTTCGTAACCAAACTTCAGGTTTAGTACGCTTGTGTTTCAGCCAGCTTGCTGTAGCTGTTGAATGCTAGCAGCTAACCTGCTAAACACAGTACAGGCAGCGTATTACGTTAGCTATCTTAGCTAACGCTCACTAGACAAAATAACTTGTAATACGTTAACTCAAATGTATGTAAACACATTTGCTTCCTTTGGCTGTAACAGCAATGTGAGGTCAAAATAAAATGTACAAAAAATGCATTTTATGCAGTCTTTACACAGCCATGTTCGGTACAAACTTCTGTTTTTATTTTTGAAACGGGCACTGTAGTGTACTGCAGCTAAGCTAACTAGCTAGCGGAAAGTCACTAACCGGATGGGAAGATTGAGGCGTTCAGGTACTCACTGTAACGTGGTCAAATGCCGAGTATGTCAAGTGATTAGTCGTTTTTCAGAAAGTGTTTTTTTTTTTTTAAACTGAACGTAAATATAAATAACAGAGCACCAATTACTTTAAATAAACATTACACCATGCTGCATGCAAAAACGTTAAAGACCTATTTCCCCACTATTATTGACACCGGTGGTCCGTGGAAGGCGCAGTCCTTTCTTCGGTTTGTGGCTTGCTAACGTTAAATGTCCAATAAATGATTAACTTCCATACATTGTTCATATGACTATAACACAATATGTCACTTTTGCTGGACTCTTCTCGCCTCATGTATGTTTGCCAGGGCAGAGGGTTTCTTTTTATGGAGCCAGTAGTGTCGGCGTTTGATTAATTTGATGTAGGACATGATTTCGATGTTTTTCCTGTTTTAACAACTTCATCAGATATTTTTGTTTATACTATAACTGATGTCCTATCTGTGCAAATGGTATCCAAATGAAAACAAACTTTTGCTAAATTAACAATCACTTAACAATGAATAACAGGTTAAGCTGATTTATTTATCATACATAGACAAAATGAAATGATACATTATTTCTAGTTATACAAATGTGAATACCAGCTAATTTAATTTTTTATATTATCTTAACTATAGAGGTTACAAACATCTAAAAACAACTGTTAAACACTTAAATGGTCAATAAAAACAAACATACAGTTTAGCCAGTTTTAATAGTTTTAAAACAGTTGGTTTGGAAAAAAGTACAAAAGTGATCCTGGACGCCACGGTATGAAACCAGCCCAATAATGCATTATAATAGATGTGTTCCTTAAAAAGCATCTTCTACAGACATGTTAATTTCAACTGGCCTTACCGTACACATACTGTACTCACTAAAACAGATACAAGCAATAGTTTAAATACAATGGCTGACCCCAGTAATACATTTACAAGTGATTCTTAAAAAACTAATTAAAAAGGGAGAGGGAGAAAAGAAGTCTGACCACAATGCCAACCGGTGTCTGGCAGTAAAATCATGCAGTATTACAATTTTTCCACTAAAGAGAAACAGCAAAGCACAACGGCTGTCACACAGTGAGAAAGAGGGCAGCCAAGAAGTGTCTCTCTGTCAGACAGCCTTTTAAAGTGTTCATTGTTAGTTTTGTGAATTGTTACTGAGAGGGTTCTCAACTGTTGAGAGGCAGCTCTGTGGTCACCCTTCCCACGTTTGCATACATTGTAAAGTTGCGCCGTATCTCTGTTGAAGAGAACTTGTCTTTTGCATTCACATACATTTAGAAAAATATAACTAATTGCTATTGAAGAAAACCCCAAAATATGGATATTCTCTTAGTATGTTGTGAGGAAATAAAAAAGCTAAGAAATACAGTTGAATAAATAAATTGCATGAGATCCATAAAAATCAAGTGGATACATCGAGTTGACAGAATGCTGTCCACGTATGCACACCATGCGTTCTGTTTTGGCCCGGCAGTGTTAAAACGAGGGCTCCATCCTCCACTCAATCACACATCCCATGAGCCAGTGGAAAAGTTGCCATAAAATATCTAAAATATGCTGATATTAGAGAAAGGGTTCTTTGATTCAACAGTTTAGTTCCATGTACAACATGGTCTCTGTCGTTACCATTTCAGGAGTAATCAATGTTGATGGCAATGAGATTACACAAGAGGGAGACTTTCACAGTGTCACAACAATGAAGCCGCTCTGTGTTGTTACCCGTTGGCCAACCCATTGTTAGGGCAGCAGTGAACTTCCTGTTCGGTCAAACTTTTTTCCTTTAGAGAGGGAGGCGACTTGTTTCAGCAATTCCCTGTTCTTGCCCTGTGGAAACAAATGATACATGGTGGTAAATGCATAGTTCTGACATTTTTGCACTCACAAAAACCATTAACATTTCAATTTGGCTGCTATAAATACATGTGAAGAAACATCACACGAATTGCAAAGCATGTACTTTTATACCTAACACTCATCATTCATCTGACCCTAAATGGTTTCCCAACATGGGTTAACTTTAAATGTTAAAAGTGTTCTGAGAAAAATGGCGTATGTCCAATCAGCATGAAAAAACAGCAGCAGCGGTGACACTAACAGGAAAGTTAACAGGAAATGACACATTTTGTTCATAACACCAGTCTTCAAAGTTATGCAACAAGTGACTCATCCCTGGCACATATGACACACAAGCAGGATATGGGTCCAGATACTGCTTAACATTTTAAAGCAATTCTTTTTGCAATAGCTGCAGTTATACAACGTTATACATCGTACTTAAAATCACGTGGGCAAGAAGACAATAACAGACAAGGATCATCATGCACCCCAACAGGTTTTTGCATTAAAAAACAACATTGTAGTAAGTATAACTACAAGATGTACTTGAAACAATCTCAGGAAAGCAAACTTAGATGTAATTGATTCATAGACTGTATATATGTACATTGATTTAGCGTGTGCTCATTTCTACTGGGCCTTTAAGTCGTAGAAGAGAACCTTTATTTTAACTGACAAGATTGACAGTCAGTGATTGACAGGACTAATATTAAAGGCATGCTTTAGCAAATACTATACAACACACCTTCTTGGAAGATGTTCATTTGAATGTTTGGACTCTGTAAACCTCTTCAAAAAGAGCTAAATAACGAGTAGAACATTTACATTAGAATCAACTAGGGCTGCACAATATATGATTTGTTATTGTCTCTGTTGTCAACTTGCAGGATAAGCATATTGTGTAAGACTGCAATATTGTTTGAGGGTGTTATAAGGTGTGGAGTTTTGAGTTGAAACTTTTAAGAGACACCTGTCATGTGTGCATCTGTGGTTTCCTACCTGCTGGTGCTCCATAGACTCTTTGTGCGATTTATCCATTTGGTTCATCTTGACTCTCATGTTGGATTCCTGGTACTGAAAGTCTGCTTTGAGCTCCGTGAGCTAGAGGGGCAATGAATAATCAATACGTCAAACACGTAGAAGGAACCAACGGTGATTTAGCATTTGACTCATTAGAGGGTGATAACATACCTTTCGGTCCTTCTCTAGAATGGTTTGATCCTTCTGCTGCAGAACTCTCTTCAGTGACATCACTTCCTCTTTCAGCTGGCTGATGAGAATGAAGTTATCTGTTCCTCCAGAGTCCATTGACTGGGTGATGGAACTACTGAATGGGGAAAGGAAAAGAAACAAGGCCAGTATTAAGATGGGTAGTTCACTTCAGCAGGATGATTGCAAAAGGAATGAGCATTTTTCCATTAAAAAAAAATCAATCTTTTTTTACCAATACCTGTCCCCGTTGGATGGCTTTAACTCCAGTTTTGGTTTCTTCTTTGGAGTCTCCTTCTGGATTGAAGAAGATTTATGGCTGCAAAGAACAATCAAAATGGTAAATTAAAACTGTTGCCTTTTTTTCACTCTATTAAGCAGTTGAGTTGAAAAGGGAAGTTTTACCTCTTATTCCACAGCCCCTGCTCCTGCTCTGGACTTAAGCTCCCACTTAGTCTGTGTGAGATAATGTAGCCATTAATTCCCTCGATCTACGTCCTACTTTTGAATGCTTGATATTAACAACCATCTATAGCATATTATACACAAGTGTCATTACTCTGTTAAAATGCCCAATAATGACCCGACAGAGGACGTACTTGTGATGAGAGCTGCTGTGTCTGTGGTGGTGGTGATGATGGTGAGGTCTGGAGTGGTGGTCTTTCTCATTCAGCGAGGAGGAGTTGGAGGAGCCGAAGCCCTTCCTCTGCTCCTTGGTCTTCTGCAGGACACGGCGGTAAGACAAGGTACAGAGCCAGCAGAGCAATTTCCCGTCCACCTGTAAGACAAGAAGGATATAGTACTCCGTATTAGACTAGCTGTTACATATTCACTGTTAAGTCAAACAGAGCCTAAGGCTTTAATAAAAAATAAAAATAAAAAACAGATTACAAGTAGTCGGAAAATAATATATATGGATACATATCAATAACAAAATAGCTTAATTTTAATCAGAAATGAAATGATTAGAGCTACAAATATGTTTCATTTAAATACATATCATCAATTAATAGGGATAGACAACAGGTGTGTAATGATTGCAGGCGGTCCTGCCTCCTCTGGCAAGCTGGGAGCAATCACCCTAATCATAGAGCCCAGTGCTGCATCCTGGAGAAGGATTTAAATAGTTGCTGTGTGCGATCCTGGTAGACTGAAGCGTGTAGACGGGAGGCATTTCTACCGAGTCAGGACAGGCAGCCGGTAAGATCCGATCCATAATGTTGTGTGAGAGCCGCTAATGTTTATGTTCTGTTAGATTGTTTGCGTGTGTCCCACGTGTCTTGTTAGAACTCTACGCAGCATTGTTTAGATGTAGGTTTCAATGTGGTGTGCTAATTGTGCGGAACATTCTGAGCTTAGACGCTCTGTTATTGTCAGAAGGATAGGTAAAATAAGGAAAATAGTTATTCTTAAAAAGTATTTTTGATTTAGTAAAAACCTTTATAATAAGATCCTGTTAATTTATTCCACGGAAGATTCCTGCTAAAAGGGGAGAAAATAATCTTTCTTGTTAAAGAAATTCATTTGATTAGAAGCATTGCTAGTGAAGTCTTGTTTAATTCATTGAATACCTGTTAAAAGAGGAAATCATCTTTTCTTGTTTAAAAATAATCAATTTGTTAACATTTCTAGTAAAGTCCAGTTAATTAAATCTGCTGAGATTTTAAAAGAGCTTGGGTTTAAAGAAACGTTTTTAAAATGGATATTTCTGTGCTTAGTCTGTTCAATCTATGTGTAACATATTCATAATTAAGGCAGCAGTTGCCAAACAAATGTATTGTTTACATGCTTTATTTATGTTTACATGCTTTATTTATTTTTGATAACTTACAAATTCTAAAATGCATCTTTCTTGTTTTCAAAGGTTTTTCATCTGCATAAAGTGACCCAGTCAGCAAAGACATTTAAGTGAACTGCTAAAAGAAAAGCTGTGTCATTGGAGTGGAATCCTGTTCTTAAATTCCTGTCGATGCCTCAAGTCCCTTACAAGTGGGGAATCTGCACAAAACCAGAGGAAACTTGACATTCACTGTCAGATGTGGCTGCAAGTGTGTGAGGTGTGTACCTTTCTCCTGCCTTCCTCCTTGCGGTCAAAAGCACATTGCTGTTTGCACTGCTCACAGGTCTGTGGAGGTCCATATTTCTTCTCTGAGTTAGTACAGCGCTGACATTTTGTCCCGATAAAAGCTGCAATGATGTTACAGTACTGGCAGGGTTTGGGCTGTAAAGAGAGACAAAAGTTCATGTGAAAAATGTGTTTATTTTACAGCATCGACCGTAAACAAATGTGAGTGCCACACAATAAATACAACTGGAGTGCGAAGTGCTTCAAGTGCTTACTTACTGTTCCAAACTGTTTGACGTTCTGAGCACACTTCTTGCAGATTGTATTGGTTTTACTGTAAATAATAAACTGGGGTTAGAATCCAAAAAAATGCACACCCTCTTAATAATAGCATATGTGCTGAAATTCACCACAAGGCGGAAATCTCACACCTTTCCTGTTGAAACTCAGATCTGCAGAATGTGCACTTCACTATTGGATGTGCAATGCGACATTCCTGTGGCAACAAAACAAAGAAATGTTCTCATGAGTGTTATTGTGCGATTAAACTGGCACATCAGAAAGAACAGTGCCTCGCCTCATAACAACTTGTGTTTCGCAACAACACCCAACTATGTGGGTGTACTGTATACAAGAAGAGAAATACGTTTAATTTGACTGATTTAGGTTGCTCAACACAAAATACTATTCCACAAGGGATGGGCAGAGTAGGAAACATAAGCTCAATAAACTAGAGCCGATGTTGGATACATCTAAGTGGCATTATCTAATAGTGAGAAAAACAATGATAAACCAACTAATGTTTTTGAAGTTTTCATTGACCTTGTGCTTTAACTATCATGTACAAAGAAAAGTTCTGAGTATAGGAAATACAGTGATAAAACTGTCCATTTTGTCTATACTACCTTCTTTTAAAAGATATGAATCAGTGCAGACTTGGATGTTTAGAAACACACTTTAGAATAAAAAATCTCTAAACAAGGCAACAAGTATGTACACCCATGGCAATTCCTAAAAACTAAAATTATTTTAAACCCTTAGTAATTATTGTTCAGTGTGTAATTATTCAGTAGGACTGAGTTTTAACTCTAATCAGGATCGACGTATGACATGATCTAAACAAGATTACTCTCTGTATTAGCGCTTCCAGGTTGGACAGATAAATGCTGTTACATAATCTGGCTTGTCGAAAGAGCATCACACCACACGGCATCAACCCCTCACAAAACATCAACAGTTTTACGCTTGGGATTTGTTGTTGAGTATTGTTTGAAGACATCCTCGACCCCACACACACACACACACATCCAGTTACCTTGCACAGCTGCTGGCCCTGCGACAGCTCCTCGAAGGGGTACCGCTGGTTACACTTCGTACAGGCGTACAGAGCCGACGTTGCCATTCTCGCTGAACTGATGTCACCGAGCTAGATTAGGTTAGCAGAGTCCAGCTGCAAATTGACCGGATTACCGACGCTATTTCCTTTCTAGCCCTTTCGCTAATTCAGGACTGAGAACACTCAAACAGCGCTGGCATCCACTGTTAGCTAACGTTAGCTAGCTCGGCTAAGTAGCGCTGGGCAACACAGAAATAGCTTAGCTGGAGGGAGCAGGCGAAGAACAATAAAATCCAAATATTTGTTATCTTTATCACGTTATCCAACCCGACTAACTTCAGACGAGTCGTTGCTAAAGTCGCGGAATAAGCAACCCGTTAACATATATCTGTCTATTTGTATTAAGTTTCCACTGTTCTCGCCAAGAAAGGTATTTTCCTGTTTTCCTTCTCTCTTTTTGTATCAACGCCGTCGTCGTCATGTAACAGGAAATGAGCTCCACAAGAAGAAAGGAAACCTATCGCGACACAATATCCGTCCGCGGGATTTACTGTTTGAAATAAGCAGAGCCAATCACAATCGTGGATACTTCATATTTATATTGTATTTAGTTTCTAATACAATCTTATTTAATCTATTTTATTTGTTTTATTTATGTATGCATACTATTATATTTCATTTATATATTGGCCACTATCCATGATCAGGTATAATTATATATAAATTAGATATGTAAATTGTAATCCCTGTACATTTTGCTGTATGATGTCCTTTTGTTGTTCTGTTGTTTATGTTTTGATGTCTTCTTGTGGAACCTACTGCTGCAGGTCTCCCTTGAAAAAGAGATCATTGATCTCAATGGGATTTTACCTGGATAAATAAAGGTTTTGAGTTGAATTATGTAAGTAACTTGAACAATTGATTTAATTACTAAAGTCACGACTATTTTTTTTTTATTGCATCCAGTTTGCCTGTGAGGAATTGTGTGTGTGTAATTATTGAGTCCTAAATGATAGGTGCATAGTTTGAAATGGAAACAATCATATTATTTTGAATTCTGCTAATTCTCGATTCATCTTAATCTTACAAATGTTATTTTTTATTATTAGAAATCGAGATATGTTTTGTTTCAGAAAAGTTGTCATGTAGTTAAAAAGTCATTCATAAGAGGGCCTGAAATCTTCAGTTGATACTAAAGTGGCTGCTGTAACACATAACTATGAATTCAATACATGCTGGATACCTGTACTGTTGATACTGTCTGTCATCCTTTAATTGAGGGTATTAACCAGTGATTTTGGGCCCCATGTTAAGATTGGTTACTTAAACATTTTGTTCTTAATGTTCTAAAATTGTTTGGGCCCCTGTCAGTCACGGGCCCTTAGAATCGTCCTAACTTTTCACCCCCTTACGGCGCCCCTGTTTGCAGCTCAGTGCCTCATCCAACAGATTGGATCCTAATTCTGAAATGTGTGACACATTTCAATCAACATTAATATAACCTAATCAAGTCTCATTCTGTTGATAAACACTCATTTGGATGAGGCTCTTTTTAATTATAAAAAGTAATGCCAGTAATAGAAATGACTAACTTAAGCAATTTTAGTGGCAATATCAATTCATTTGAAGTTATAGGTATGAATTACAATGTAAAGTCAATGGAATGATAAGCCTGTTAATGGATAAAGGATGCATTAAAGCTCAATTATGGCCAGTCATCTAATATTCAGGTATGAGAGACCGCTTGAATATGATCATGTAAAATGATTCCAGAGCCACTGAGTCTAATATTACCCTCAAGCAGTCACACTGTATTTCACATACCTTATTTAAAATAAAATACACTTTTCTTTATTATATTAGATGGAGACCATAATCACTATGTTAGTGGTATCAGTATTGGGACTGCTGAGAAAAAATAAAGTTAGTGTGCATACTGTTCTGGAAACAGCTTCATTACTCCTGACCGCTGCTCCTGACTAACTAGCACCAGACTGTATTGCTAGCGTACAGCACCACCTACATGATACACTGTATAACAGCCTGTCAAATGTCTAAAAAGGAATTATTCAGCGAGTGTAATGAAGGTTAATGAATATGACATTTGTAAATAATAAAAAACGTGCTTCATATTTTACAGTTATTGCTCATGTTGTTGGGGTTCTGCTATCATTTGAAACACTAAAAGATTAAAGGCAGGAAATAAACTGTGTTCACACATCACGCTATGGAAATCATACCGACTCCTGTGTTTATTGAAAGTATTTACATATGCAGTGGAAAGGCTGACACTGTATTAACCGTTTCACCAGTATTAGTTGACATTTTAAAAACTGTGCTATCCTATCTCTCAATTAGAACAAGGCACAGATATTTAAAATAAAATGTGAAATAAACACCCAAGGCAAACTATTAGTTGTTACATATTCTGCTTCCTATAAAAAAAACATTGGCTGCTACTAGTTTTTTAAAATAATATTAAGAAATGGATACACACTAGCTTTTAACGTTAATTATTAACTGGACAAATTAACTGTTGCATATTCTGGTTAGCATATTAATATTGCATGGGAACATTTCTAATTAATTTGTGACATTAGACAGGCATACAAGTCTGGAAAGAAGGATAATAAATAACTTACAAAACATGAGATTAATACAAGACATAAGTCTATGTATTCATAAAAAAAAGATATTTGGTCACAACAATCTAAAAGCACTGACTTCGGAAGACAATCTGCCAACTTATTTTAATGCTATGTATTTTTCCTAACATTAAAATAATCTAACAGCCCTTTAGCTACATTGTTGAATCTCACAGACCACTCAAATGCAGTAATTTACATCTTCACAATTGCTTTTAAATCAATCTCTTAACATTTGCAGTGCAGAGGAATGAAGTGAGTGTTCCTATGAAGTGTGTAAGGCATACATAATTCACCCGAGTAATATTTTAGTGTACTTCAGAAATGGTCCAACACTGATTGTAGGTGGGTCGATGAGCTAGACAGTACTCACTATTCTTATCACTAACATCTCGACTCTGGAGGCAGAGAACAATATGGCTGTGGTCAAAGCACTAAGAGACAGTCTCCGGTTGTAAGCAGACTCTATATTCCCCGTAAAATGTGCAAACACAAACAGACATTTGGTGATAGTGTGTAACGCGGCGTTTCACCCAAAGAGCCAGTTTAGCACCCAGGTCCTTCATGGCGTGGCCTACAGATGACTACTGTCAGCTTCTCACAGGTAGTGTTTAGCTTCCGCGACCGTCATGAGGGTCACAGTTACGTCAAACAAAGGTCTGCACCGGCGTGATGGAGCGTGTGGGGGAGCCGGCACGTTCAGAGGAAGAGGCCGAGCGATTGGTCACCTCTCGCTGCAGGTCGTCCACTCTCTTCTGCAGCTCCGCACGCTTCGCCAGCAGCTCCTTGTAGCGCTGATGAACAGGTTCCTGGTAACAACAAATAGGTTGACCTGTAAATCTCAAGGTCAAACACTTTAGTGAAGCATGTATGAAATGCAAACAATTTTCTTTGAAATGCTGAAGTCCGATCTAAAGGGGGGACAACCTGGAAAATAATGTAAAGATTTAACAAATAAATTCCACTTGGAAACTTCAGCAGATTACTTACATTAAGTTATGTTTTAGGTTTAATCCATGTTTTTAGTAATAAAAACTCTTCTCTATAAATCAGGCTATTAATGATATATGAATGAACCCCTCTGCAGTCTGTGTGTGTAAGTGCCACTGAAGTGGAGATTTCTGGAGTATTACAAAAACAAAATGTATTTGAGGCTTCAAAGATATGTATTGTAAGTGGATTATTCAATGGACAATATGTTGTGATTAATTATGCTGGTTTGGATGAATTTGGTAAATTCTACACATGCAAATAAAGAAATTGAGTGCAATAAACTGTTAAATGTATATTTTGGAGGTTTTCTTTCCACTAGTCTGAAAGTTAAAAAGCAAAACAGCCCAACATCTCAAAATTGACCAGTGCATAAAAAGAAACAATGTATCTGGCCTTAAAAAGCCTATTGCCATACCTGAGGCCTCATGCGAGGGTTCCAGCGGATGTAGTAGCCAACCCAAAGCTCCAGGTGACGTAAGCTGACTACAGGAAACAGCACATGGTTGGTATAGTTCACATACAAGGGATTGGTGAAGTCCTCCAGCTGGCTGTTGATGTAGGACCACAACGACACTGTCCTCTTGGGAATCTCCTGTAAAATAAAAAGGGGAGGTCGACATGACGTTGGACTCAGACCTCCAACAAAGCTTTGAGAAAAAAAAATGCTCTTACCTCTTTCAGCCTCTGCTGTTCGCTGTTGCACAAGAATGTCCCAAACAGGCAGCTGTACAGGTGATCCAGGATGGTCACCAGGAAGTTTTCGTTGAACTCAAAGGCAGCAGGAAACTAAAATAATAACAGCTTCTTTAGTGTCATTGAAAGACCGTGTTGATCTGAAGATCAGCTCTATTTATTGCTTACCTGGCGAGTCAATTGCCAGACACAGTCGATGAACTGAATGAAAACAGGTGAGCGGTCTGCGTCGGTGTGGTTCTTATCGCCGTGACCAACACGCTGAAAGAAGAACAAAGGATAATCAGTGATGCAACTGATAAAGCAACCAAGCACATGTATTTTTACCAAACGTCAAAATAGTGTGAGAAAATGTGTTTACCAGCTGGAAGCGGTGACCGAAGCTCAGCCACTCTTTCTCCAGCAGCACCTCGAAGCCGCGGATGGTGCGGTAGTGAGCGTCCAGCATGAGCATGGCCAGGGAGGTGAGCTGGCCCGTGCGATCCCAGCCATCGCTGCAGTGCACCACCACTGAAGTTTTCCCAGACTCCACCTTGTCTGCAATACGCAGGGCTCCTGCTAGGATCAACTAAAAACACATGCACAACAGAGTGGTTGTTATTCTCCTTAAGTTGAGAGGAGATCCGGTATATAACACCAAGTCTTTCGCTCACCTTGATGTGCTCAAGCCAATGAGTGGACTCCAGATTGGAGAGCCAATGGGAATCCTCGATGTTGGGGTAGACCACGTCCTTCAGCTTGCGTAGGGACTCTCTCATCACATGGATGTTGTGAATATCCAAGAACACCAGCTCAGCATTTTGATACGCATCTTCACTTTCATAACCACCGCCTTTCATCTGAAGAAGAACATTTTAAAACAAACAAGGGAAGACATTTAGCAAGCAGACCCTGAGTTTCTTTACATATAGAGATGCACTTATTGCAATTTTCTTGGCTGATTTTCAGTATGATATACCTTGTTGGCAGCAGCGTTGACACTGGGCCTGGCATCGAAGATGAACAGTTTATGGGACTGAGCATTAGCATCCATGATGGCCTGAAGGTATTTCTCATCCTCTTTGCTGCGCTTCCCGTTTACTCCCACCATGGGCTGACTGCAGCGCGTCACTGTGGCCTGGCTCTCCGGATGGATCCATGACAACACCTGCACACAGAGTATAACAGAATGTTACCAAAGACAGTCAGACAATATGATGAGGAGAGGATAGGTAGGTTCATGCTGAAGAAAGGTCACTCACAGGTATCCTTCCCTTGGCTCGGAAGGCAGCTACTCTCTTCAGCTCTTCGTCTGGTATGTTCACAGGCACCGCCAGGGTTGATGGGTAGGTGTCACAAACCTCGTAGTGGTCATTGACTTTTGTTACCCTCCAGCTTTCATTTGGTATACCCTTTAAAAACACACAAGGTACCAATTTAATAAAAACAGACAAATAACTAATGTAATAAACCGTCTGGAATTTTAGATTTTTTAAGCGGGGTTGAATGTGTTACATATTTACATTCAGTTTATTACCTACAGTAGATGTCGGACAGACCTTGCTGATATGGAACTAAAGCTGTTATCTTTGCTTACTAGGCCCTATTATTCGTTTTGGGGTTTCCCCTTTCCTGCAGTGTGTTGTCGCGCTTCTATGGCTAGCGCTCCAACACAGTGTACGGGAAAGGCTATGGGGCGGGTCATCTCTAAGCGGTTGACCGATAACAACAGAGCTGGACAGCTAACCAATCAGAGCAGACTGGGCTCTGGTTTCAGACAGAGGGGAAAAGAGGTTCAGCAGCACAGGCAGTATGAGATAAATAAACAATGGAACAATTACTTCATACCTCCCAAATTTAAACATTCCCAACAATCTAATTAAGATATGCCGGTCGAACCATGTTGTTTTTAAATACCTGTCTTTTGTATTCTGAGACAGCATCATACACCTTCCATCCGTTTTCAGGAAATACTTGGCCATATTCACAGGCAAAGATTTGCTGTGGAGAGAGGGAGAGGTGTTCAGTCAGCAGACAGAGCTGATCAACAGTGACAGAGACACCAAGGCTTAAAAATCACTCACCAGCCCGTTGGAAACAGGAAACGCAAATTTCACCAGCACTTCGAAAATGGACTTCCTCAGTGTGTCCTCCAGTTGTTTGTGAGCAAATCGCAGATTACGCATATCCTGCAGATAGGCAGAGCAGCAGGTCATGGACATACTCAGAGGTCTATAGTTGTATATAAATATGATTTCATAGCAGTAAAGCATCTTTGCTATGCTATTGTAGAAATATAGCATGTTCATAGACTGACTTATTCTTAAAAAATGTGATTTCAGATTCGTTATGCCTGTGCACTGTTCCATCTACTGAATTGCCATATAAAGCAGGTTTAGTTTCCACATCCTACTCACCTTGCATACTAGCCCGTATGACACGTCGCCGCGACTAGAGGCACTTCCAATCTTTTCCACACGACTCACCACCCCGAGGGGCAGGTCCAACACAAATGATGGCTCCTAGAAACAAACTACACATTAACAAAAACTGTACGTTTTCTGTAGCGATTTATACTGCTTTTTAAATGTTTTATTCAAGAAGCATACCCTGTCCATGCATCTGAAGAAAAGTCTGTAGTTGGTTACTGTCACCGTCCCCCTCATTGCTCCGATGAAAGGACAGAAATAGGTGACATCTTGGGCTACAAAAATAAAAAAATAAAAAATGATGTTTATAGCCAAGCACAACACATATAGGAAAAAACGAATTTTCCTTTAATGCGTGAATGCAAAGAGAGCACATACCCATGTCATGAACAGTTTCATTTGGAAGTAACTGTGGCTCTTCTTTGTCTGAATCTCTAGGCACCTGCTTAAAAGATAAGATACATATTATACCTAAAGGAGAAGCGCTCTCTTAATCTGAACATATTAAACTAGCTACGGAATTATCATTATTCAGACTACTTCGTCTAGTTTGTAATTCACAAGAAGGCGTACCTTGGCAGCAGTTTTTGGCTTGACCTGAAGAATGCAGAGAAGAGGAGAGTCATGCTTTGGACATTATTATGAGTAAATGAAAAAAAACAGCATTGTGTAAGTGACATTTGTGCATGTAACTGACCCTGAGCTCTGGGGAGAGCTCTGTAGGAGTGGCCCCGGAGTCACAAGACATGGCAGAGGCTGCTTTGGCCTGGGCAGAGCGGTCAGAGCGAGAGGTGGACGTGCTGTGGAGAGATAACAGGACAAACTATAAAAAAGAAATACAACTTGTCTGAGTAAAATGTAACTACAGCCATGTTATTCTCATTGTACTTATGCTGAAACCGTTATTTGATTAAATATTAGCCACCTAACAAAAATGATTGCTGAGTAAATTCACAAAGTTGCTACTCGGCTTATCCGAGTAGTAACTTTAGAACAGCGAGAGTGAATTTACTCAATAAGAAGAATTTTAGGTACTTACTCCATTTTCTGTTACTTATACTTATACTCCAAAACACCTCAAACAAGGCAAATATTGTTCAATTTACTTTACTACATCTAAAGCATATACTTAAATAATATACAATATAATTAACAAGTAAATGGTGTAATATTATTGAATAAAATAAGACATTATCAATTCAAAATGTGGGTGATGTTCACATTAATAATAATCAAATGTTCTGATTCTGAAATGGGCCATTCTGCATAACGACAACTTTTACTTTTGGTACTTTAAGTAGCCTATGTTGTAATGCTCGGACTTATGTATAATGTATGCAGGACTTTCGCTTAAAACAGAGTATTGCTAGACTGTTGTTTTGCTACTTTTAATCAAGTAAAAGATCTGCATACATCCTCCACCTCTTCTTTAGGACTTTTAACTGTAAAGCATACTGAGGAAGTATGAATGAAGAACCTTGAAGGCATCATCGTGGGCTCGTTTTTCACAAGTTTTAAAGCCTAAACTATTTATTGAATATTCAAATACACAATGGGTGGCATTGCTCTGGAATCTGTTTATTTAGATTGACATTTGCTTACATTGTCCCTCCTACATTATAAAAGATTGTTGGACCTTTTCATTATAAGGGATAATGGCCGATAATGACAGGCTAGTTAAATGGTGCCCAACTGTCAACATCAGGGGTCGTTTCATGGCAGTTTGTTAATCGCACATTGCATTATTTGTGGTTTAACGGACGCTTCTGAAGTTTTAGTAAAATAACATTAGTATTAGACATGTCAAGTCACGTTACAACACTGAAATACACAGCTGTCTTTTTGTTTTAAAAACTTTTAGCTAGCTTAAAAGCGACGTGTTGTGGTGCGTTTAGCTACCTGGACAATGAATCAACACTTGGCTGTCGGGACGAGGAGCGCTTCGAGCCCAGGCTGTCGATGCTGCCGCTCTTCTCCATGTTCTCCTGCTTCAAGCGTTAGGATATCTGGTGCTGTTGGCCCCGAATAATGCTCTAAAGATCCCCGTATACACTGAAGAATGTCTTTAAATCCCCCCTCGGAGTTCAGTAAATCCCCACCAACGAAAGGAAGCTGCCATGTTTTCCCAGCAGCCTCCCAAAGCCTGTCACAATGGAGCGATTGTTGGAGTGGGCGCCCCCTGCCGGAGGGCTGCATGCGCTGTGGACCTTCTGATTTGATTCAGAAACAACTGGAACAGGCATTTGGTGGCATTTGGCTTTTTAAAGAAATTCCAGGGATTTAAATGCATTTAAATCGCGAATAATATCAAATAATTATCGTTATAGTTGTATTATCCTAACTGTTTCCGAGAAACACAACACGTACACACATATTGCGTTCCAAAGTATCCATGTTGCAAATAATCATTCATTTTTTGACTTGAAGTAGGGATGATTGATATAAACAGTGCTTTACACAACTAGCCAAATTAAAATACAATTCTAATTCTTGCCTCATTACAAATAAGACAGAAAGCTTGAAATCAGAACTTGCACCCCAAATGAATTTCCTTTTAAATATCAAAAATAATGCGACTCTACTTTGAAGAAATCTTTTTGCCTATTTCATTCCTTTATCTCAAAAGGTTCATTAAATTATGATTGCGTAAAACCCATTCTGTTAACAGTTTTAAGTGTGTTATCGTGCACAATAGGAAATTAAAACCAAAACCCCACATTTCAGGAAAAAGGTAGAATACATATTTAAGGAACAATGCCCTTAAAAAGAGAATCCTCCAAAATGACAAGGATTTTCTCAAATAAATTCCTGCAAGGCAACATAGTCTTACAGTTTATTGAAATGTTAATTTTATTTAAAAAGAAAAACCTACAGAAAGACATTTAACAGTTTCAACTTTTCATTTGCTTTATTCAAAGGATGTATCTTTCCCACTCATTTATATACAACATCTTACTTGTTGACTGTACACATACTAATGCATTTGAATACAGAATGTATGTGAATGCATTTGTCAATCTTGGGATTGAGGGAAAGGAGAGCGAAGTCTAAACAAAAGGTTAAAAAAACAAAAAAACACCAAGTCTTTACTTTACATATTTCTCCATAAATTTCTTGTGGAACTCAGAGCGCAGTGTGTCATTGATAAAGCGCTTCTCCTTCCTTGCTTCGTCAACTCCTTTGGCGCAGTTCTTGAACACAACATCATCATCCCACCTAAAAAGATATTAACACATTCATTTGAGTGGATTATAAGTGGAAAGTGAAGAGAACATTTTTCTTTATACATAAAACTCATGATGTGTCTTTATGCCATACCTTCTCTTGACTCTGAATGTAGTCTGAGTCGGGGCGACCTGCTGTTGCTGTTGCTGTTGCTGTTGCTGCAGCTGCTGCTGCCCGGCCAAATTGATCAATGGATTGCCACTCAATATATTCTCCATGCGAATTCTCTCCTCCTCTGCCTTCTGCTCCCGCTCCTAAAATGGGAAAAGAAACAACGTCACTCAATGACAGCACATTTGCCTCATCTCAAACAGAAATGGTGTCTTCACTTGACAGCTGGTTCAAACTTTACTTTGCGTTCTTGCTCTTCAGCCCGCTCCTTCTTGATCTTCTCCAGTTCTGCCAGAAGCGCTGCAGTGTCGTCATCATCGCTGTCCTCCTCAGAGTCCTCGTCCTCATCGTCCTATAAATAACCAGGCATCAATGATGAGGGAGTTCTAATCCCCAAAAAGTGAGATTAAATATTGCAGGGAATGCTCTTACATCGGTGAGAGGGTCGTCAGCATCAAGGTTGGCTGCTGGGATCTGATCTAGTCTGGGCCTCTTTGAGGATGATGACGAAGATGATGATGATGTGGTGTGCTCTGGAAAATGAGGGTCAATGCAGTATATCAATTATTGGTTTAATGGGTATATACGTTACATAACATGAGTAACTTGCATAGGAATAACGAATAGAAGACATGTTAAAAAAACATTAAGTCTCGGCAGAAATACCAACCTCTTGGTCCTCTCTCTCGGGTCTTTTCACGTGCAACTACACGCTCCCTTTCCTCCAGCTCCCTGCGGAAGTCACGGGCACGCACCTCTTCCTGGTTATCCTGGGTAGGTTGTCTGAGAATGGGAAAACACATTTGTTATATTTCCAGCAAATGAAGGAAGAGTTCAGCAACAAACATACTGGATAACAATCAGCGGTTGACTCAGTGAAACACCGATAACAACATACAAAAATCATTCTACACATGTTTGAAATACTGACCTGTATTTGATTTTGGTGTGACCCGGGAGATCTCGACTGGAATACTGCTTGGACAGGGCACTTAAATCCCCTCCACCTTCTCCCTTACCTCGCCCTCCTCTGGCCGGCTCAAATGTTGGTCTTGCAGCTGTAGTCATCTTTAATAGATCTGAAGAGGAGAACAAAGATTACATTAACATGTTTATCCAAAGCAACTTACATCATTGAGATACAAACTAAGAAGAACAGATACAAACCAACTAAAAACCAAGTGATGTTCAGAACAGTACACACCCAAGACCTGAGCACATTTAAATAGAGAGGGGTCGCTAAAAACATGAAGCTCCTGTCATAAATATCAAGCTGACTTGTCAATAATGAGGCAGCAGTCCCCTCATTTGAATCTAACAACATATGTTACACTACGTCTAAGTCTGTTTCAACCCAAAAGTGCGGAAACTACCTACAAATCAAACATGCACAAAGTGTCTGCAGGGGATACATTTCAGGTGATATGGTTGTGTGGTAATGTAGCTTTAGTTATTTCGTCTAATTGAAGAAGCACATCCAACAACAAGCTAAGCAATGTATTGCCAGTAGGCGTTTTGCTCATCAGACCTTTAAATAACTTAATACTTATCTTATTGTATAAGAGACATCTGCCGTGTTTTATAAGGCAAATAAAGGTTTGCTAATTATTGCTAAAGAACAGAAGCTAGCGAGTTTTCCACTACGGCTAACAAGTTGCTAGCATGCTAACCTGGACCAACAACGATGAATAATATGAAACCAATGCTAATTTGTTTAACTTGTCTATTGTGAACACTCAAAAATGAAAAGTTTCAAAAAGTAATTTCACTAAAATTCATTTCAAGGGTAGTTTAGAAATGGATTTTAGATAAATAATACTTACGGAGCTGCTACCGCACGAGAAAAGCCGAAAAAACGCGTGTCGTCACTTCCTGTAGAAACCCGGAAAAGATGCATTCATAAACCCTCGGAAATGTAACAACACTCTGAACCCTTCGTGCTAAAGGATTTTCATATATTTGAATATAGTGGTCTTGTTGATTCCCACATTTTTGTTATGATGATTAGTGAACTGAGCTCTTACTAATATACTAAATAACTATTCTACGGTATATTCAATGTGATCATCTCTATATTTGCATGTAAGAACAAGTAAAGTGCCTTAATTTTCCTTATTAATTATTGTGCAATGTTGTATTGGGAAGGTAGGGGGGAGTGTCAAATAGTAATATGGATGCTTTGAAAGTATTGGAATCTGAATTAAATGTAATCATAACACAAACTTGAAAGTCTGCCAATAAGGGTTAACAACGAACAAGCAAAAAATGCGGATTAAGTAAAAAAAAAAAGGAGAAGAGTAATACAGATAAAGACAAGATAAGATTCACTTTATTGATCCCAATTGGGAAATATTTCAGCAGCATGTAAACATTAGGGGTCGAGAGAAGCAAATGTATATATCTTTTTTTACAAATTTGAATGGACACTGATTTAAATTGTTGATAAATTATTACATTTTCAGGCCAGTGGAGACGTCTCAACATGAGGTCTAATATCAGATTTTTAGTGTCAATTTCCAAAAACTAACATGTAATTATGACAGCGTACACAGCCGAACCACAAAATGGCCCAAAGAAACAAGGTCATTAATCTGTCAACCTTAACTTTGCTGTCGCCAGGCCCAGGGGGTGATTTGTTTTACAGATCACACACACATACTTATGCAATACCTTAAGGAACAACTTGTGACATCCTGTGACACATTTGTATCATTCTTTCAACTCCAAACAGGAAACCTTGCACATTCCTCTGTGCATATTTCTGAAGAGTTACTTTTAAATGCAAACTCTTCCACTGTTGAAATTCAAATATACTGTACACATTATTTACTTAATTTGTTTACTTTTTACATTTGTTATAACAGTTCTTAATTTGCTCTTATTTTACAACTCAATTCCTCCTTCAGTGTTTATGTTTGCATCATTGTACACCAAAGCAAAATCCGTGTGTGTGTAAATGTACATAGCAATAAACCTGATTCTGGAATATAATAAGACAAACTCTAAATATTTAAATTGTAATTCTGCAGGGTACGACAGATTCAACAGTAAAATAATACTTAGTTCTTTCTCCTCTTTTCACCTTTTCATTTTGAATGTAAATGGCATGCAATTGCATAATATTATAAAAAGACAGTTTAGTTCAGAATGTACTCTTCTGTAAATCAACAACACTTTTCACTGAGCAGTACGTCAACACTATTCTCATTCAACCATGTATTTTCTATACAGTAAGACAAGGCAAGTTTATTTATATAGCACCTTTCAACACAAGGCAATTCAAAGTGCTTTACAAAAATGAAAGACATTAAGAAAATGGCATTTCAAATCAGTCATTAAAAAGCAAAGATAATAAAATAAACATTAAAAGAAGGATAATAGTTACAGTGCAGTTTAAGATGTGAATAGTTCAATTAAAAGCAGCGGTCTTCAGCCTGGATTTAAAAGTAGTCAGAGTTGCAGCGGACTGGCAGGTTTCTGGGAGTTTGTTCCAGATATTTGGAGCATAGTAACTGATAGCTGCTTCTCCATGTTTAGTTCTGACTCTGGGGACAGACAGCTGACCAATCTCTGAAGACCTGAGAGTTCTGGATGGTTCATAATTTAGCAGTAGGTCAGAAATGTATTTTGAGCCTAAACCATTCAAAGCTTTATAAACCAGCAGCAATATTTTGAAATCAATTATTTGACACAGGAAGCCAGTGTAAAGACTTCAGAACAGGAGTGATGTGATCCACTTTCTTAGTGTTAGTGAGGACTCGAGCAGCGGCGTTCTGAATCAGCTGCAGCGTTCTGCAGATTCTTTAGTGAGACCTGTAAAGACACCATTACAGTAGTCGAGTCTACTGAAGATAAAAGCATGGACAAGTTTTTCCAAATCCTGCTGTCACATTAGTCTTTTAATCCTAGATATGTTCTTTAGGTGATAGTAGGCTGATTTAGTAAAATAATACTAACACTGAAGTTCTGCCACTGTCTGTGTTTAAGTGGATGTCATTGAAGACCTTTACAAGAGCAGTCTCATTGCTGTGATTTAGTTTTAATGTGACTGTTGAAACTCAGGTCAGAGTCCATGACTACACCTAGATTTCTGGCTTTATCTGTTGTTTTGAACATTGCACACTGAAGCTCAGCGCTCACTTTTATACGTTCTGCCTTGGCTCCAAAAACCATTACCTCAGTTTTATCTTTGTTTAATTGGAGAAAGTTCTGACACATCCAGTCATTGATTTGTTCAATAAACGTAATCAGTGTTTGAATTGAAGCATAGTCTCCTGGTGAAATGGTTACGTACATTTGTGTGTCATCCACATATGGTAACTTATTTTGTTGTTTTTCATTATCTGAGCCAGTGTTAGCATATAGATGTTAAAGAGAAGAGGCCCCAAGACAGAGCCTTGAGGAACCCCACATGTCATATTTGTCAACTCAGATGTGTATTTACCTATAGAAACAAAGTTCTTTCTGTCCTTTAAGTAGGATTCAAACCAATTCAGAACTGTTGCCGAAAGTCCCACCCAGTTTTCTAGACGGTCTAGTAATATGTTGTGGTCAACAGTGTCAAACGCAGCACTGAGATCTAATAATACTAACACTGAAGTTCTGCCACTGTCTGTGTTTAAGTGGATGTCATTGAAGACCTTTACAAGAGCAGTCTCATTGCTGTGGTTTGGTCGAAAGCCTGACTGGAACACATCCAAACAGTTATTTAAATGCAAGTAATTACTCAACTGTTGAAAAACTACTTTTTCAATGATTTTACCTAGAAATGGGAGGTTTGATATGGGCCTGTAGTTGTTCATTACTGAAGCATCTAGATTATTCTTTTTTAAGAGCGGTTTAATGACTGCAGTTTTCAGGGCCTGTGGAAAAACACCTGAGTAAAGAGACTTGTTTACTATGTGAAGTAGATCTGAGGCCATGCAACGAAAAACATCTTTGAAAAATCCTGTTGGAATAACATCAAGGCAGCAGGAGGAGGATTTCAGAAGTTGAATAATGTCCTCTAGGTTTTTATCATTAATCTGATGGAATTGTGTCATGGTGTTTGAATTGATATTAGGTGGACTGGACACAGGGACAACACATTTGCTGTACCTGATGCAGAGGCACTGACTACTTGTCTGATTTTCTGAATGTTGTCAGTGAAGAAGGAGGCAAAATCATTGCAGGCCCTGGTGGATAGAAATTCAGAGGCTTCTGACACTGGGGGGTTTGTTAGTCTGTCGACGGTAGCAAACAAGGCACGTGCGTTGTTTTTGTTTTTGGTAATGATGTCAGAGAAGAAAGACTGTCGGGCAATTTTCAATTCCAAATTATAAAGGCCAAGTCTCTCTTTATAGATTTCAAAGTGAACCTGGAGATTTGTTTTTCGCCACCTGCGTTCAGCTTTTCGACACTTTCTTTTTTCTGTTTTCACGCTCATGGCCTTTCTCCATTGAGATATTTTCTTGCCAGTCACTTCCTTTACCTTAGTTGGAGCAATGGCATCTATAACATTTTGAATTTTTGAATTAAAATGATCTACTAGCTCATTTACTGAGATGTTAGCAGGGGCAAGTGTGGAAGAAAAATTCTGAGTAAACATTTCCCTAGTATTTTCAGTTAAATATCGCTCTGAGGTTACCTCTTTTTGAACATATTTGTGAACAGAAATAGAGCTCTCAAAGAAAACACAGGAATGATCAGAGAGTGCAACATCAGTCACCACAACCTTAGAGATATTCAGACCCTTTGAGATAATTAAGTCCAGAGTATGCCCCTTATTGTGCGTGGGCTCCGTCACATGCTGAGTCAGTCCATAGTTATCAAGAACACAAAACAGTTCTTTAGCCCCTCTGTCCTGGGGGTTGTCAACATGGATATTAAAATCACCAACGATGACTAGATGGTCAAAGTCAATACACACTATAGACAGCAGTTCAGTAAAGTCATCAAAAAAGCTTGCACAGTATTTGGGTGGTCTATAGATATTTAGGAACAGAGCTCGAGAGGAGCATTTCAGCTGAAGGACCACATATTTAAAAGAAGCAAAGTTCCCATAAGATGTCTTCCTGCATTGAAGGGAATTATTGAACAAAATAGCAACTCCACCTCCCTTCTTTTGCATTCTTTCCTGACTCATAAAACTAAAGTTGGGAGGGGTTGATTCGATAAGAACAGCTGCACTGTTATTTTGTTCAATCCAAGTTTCCGCTAAAAACATAAAATCAAGATTGTGCTCAGTGATAAAATCATTGATTAAAAATGTTTTTCCTGCCAAAGACCTGACATTTAATAAAGCTAGTTTAAGTTTGTTGAATACACTATCAGTAAGATTTTTTTCCACAAGCTGTGGCTGACATGGAATAAATTAGATAAACTCACACAAATGTTTGAGCACTTCCTGTTTCTAAGCTGATTCACCGCTCTTAATCTATTACCTATCAACACAGATATCGGCAAAGCTACAGGCAGGCAGGGCCCCGGCATGTCCTGGAAAGAGTTGAGAGTGCCATACGCCCTTGAGCCTGGACCCAGCACATATCAGTTAGAGTTTGTTGCGTTTTGTACACACACATCCTTATCAGGCTTCGGAGACCGCAGATGCTTTCTTGAAGACGGGGTAGATGGTGTGCGTCTCTGCTTCAGTGATTTTGGTGGGCGTCGTTGAAGGGCGTCGTTGAAGGGCGGGAGTAAAGGACATGCTGCCAGGGGGGGAGGTGGTTGACGTAGACACGGTGATGAAGACGAGGGAGATGGTGTGCGTCTCTGCTTCGGTGATTTTGGTGGGCGTCGTTGAGGAGCAGGGGCGGACTGGCCATTGGGAATACCGGGAGTTTCTCCGGTGGGCCGGTGCTGTGTGTGGGCCGGAGGGCCAAAAATAAAAAAATATTCTTTTCTTTTTTGCCTGAATCCTACCGGCCCACATTTGTAAGTGTTCCGGCCACTCTGGGCGCGCTGGGCCGTTTTGATAGGCTACCTTTGTTCTATCTATCAGTTTCAATTTCACACATCAGGCCCGTAGCAGCTGTCACTGCGCAGTGAACGAGTGAGTGACTGAGAGACCTAGCTGGCAGTTGCCTGCAGATGGATAAACAAGCTCAAAAGCGTAAAGGCGTTTTTGTATAGTTTGTGTATACAGTATAAGTATTGTAGCGAGCCCTGGGTTCAGAGGGAGGGGCTTGCATAGGGGGGGGTGGCAGGGAAACAGGGTTCAGGGGGAGTGGCTGTACGGCTGTACCCGATAGAAAAGGGGGAAGTGACGTCTGACTCAAAGGTCACGCGGCTGTGGAGAAGAACGTGTTGCCCACATTCTGTTACTAAATTTAGGCTAGTTAGCTAGCAGGTTTATTGTTTTGGGTGCAGTCACTTTTGCCTCCACTTGCTGTTCAAATAAATGTTGAAAGAAAAAGTAAATCTGTTTACAGTTCTGTTTTATATGGGTGTTGAAGAAGAAGAAGAAGAAGAAGAAGAAGAAGAAGAAGAATAAGAAGAAGAAGAAGAATTGGGAAGGATGTGGGAGGGGTGTGGGCAGGTGGTGGACCTCACCTCCTATAGGGGGGTCCGAACCCCCCTGTTAAATTGTCTCAACCACATTGAGAATGCTTCCTACGCCCATGTTTTATTCCATGTGTCAAGTCAGGCAAATTGGGTCAAAATTAAACATTAAAATCACTAAATATATGCTGTAACTATTTTGCTCTAGGCAACTCAAGGGCTCAGGTAATGTGATTACTATATGAATAATTGTCCAAAATCACATTAAATGCATAGGGTTTTTTGTTAAGTAACATACTTTCGTCGCCGGCCGGCCGATACATGCCGCTCATTAAGTGGGCCTGTCTGTCAATTAATCCCCGGGCCACTTTTCCCCCGCAGTCCGCCCCTGAGGAGCGGGGGTAAAGACATGCTGCCAGCCCTGCGTATCGCCTTAATTTGGTCATTGAACTCCAGGAAGGAATTGGTGCCAACCCTCTGTATCTCCTTCATGTTCAGCGATCTCCAGGAGGGTGGGCGAGGGTGAAAGGGTGAACGGAGAGTAGAGAGAGCTGTGGGGTGAAGGAAGAGTATCCTCAAAAGTGATGGGGGGGGGGGGGGGGTGCAGGGCGGTGGAGACTCCTCCATTTGTCTCCCATAATCAAGACATTCCTCAGGCGGGTGCAGTGATACATTTTCTTTCTCTTGTTTTGATTCCTCTTGTTGCTTTTCCTTGACAGAGGGAACATATTGATGACGCAGTATGTTATGGCTTTGAGTGCATTCGTCTTGTTTTGATAATGTGCTGAATGCTTTACTGAAGTTGTTGGCTGAGGTTCAAAGAGGCAAACCTACAGAGGAGGTTCTGCTGGATTCCTAAAAGATTATACGTTTTTATGTTCAAATGCAAATGTTCACACGAGACCACGAAAAGTTTCGACATGCTGACATGCTCCTAAAAAAAGCTGCGAGTATGTTTGTGTGTGTTTGTGTTTAAGAGCTGAATAATATGTGCATTATCCTTTTGAATATTCATTTGATTCAGGGCATGTTTATGGAACATTACCCAAAGGATAATAGTATTTTGTCATTTTGTCATGCAGATCCTTTTGACTCCAGGTTCTGTTGAGTTTCTTAAATTACATTAAAAAAAACATCTGAAACATCTCTCTCCAGACACAGTACTTCATTTAGTTATTTCAAATGGCAAATTAATTAACAGCAATACATCTATATTGTTATTGTGCATTGATTTATGGGAATGTGTTTGGAAGCTCTTTAGCAGTGTGCAACATCAAAGTAGAGTCAATTAAAGGGCATGTAAATAAGTAGTAGTAAATAAAAGCAGAACAAATAACTAAAAAGACTAAGGTTAACTTTCTCGATGAGCCAGTTTGATTTTCACTGGAGAAGATCCAGATGTTTTGCACTGGACTTCTCAATCTCAATCTTTATTTATTTATATAGCACATTTAAAACAACCTTCAGTTGACCAAAGTGCTGTACAGGCAATAACTACAATATGAAATAACACAATCGGAGTACAATAATAAAACAATAGTTAAAAACATGATACAAAGTACAATAACTAGAAACATATAAAAAACACATACAAATGTAAAAATGTAATGTTCAACTAGTATTAAACGCCAGTGCAAAGAGGTGAGGTGACTTCTCAGATGAAGGAGTAGATATCATTCTTAGTAGTATGAAATCAGGTCTTTCTTGATTCCTAGACAGCCCCGCTCTGTAAGAGACTTAAATTCCTTCTGTAACCAACAGATTCTGCGGAAAGCAGAGAGCATTCTGAACTCTCCAGGTCATGTTCTTTCACATGAATTTCGTCTGTTGCCATCAGGGAGAAGATATGCTCTTCCTGCTCAAAGGACTAATCGCTTTTCTAAATCATTCATCCCTTCTGCACTCAAACTTTTAAATTCTTGAAAAGGCTTTTAACTTGATTATTTATTATTTATTTATTATTCACATCTGTGCTCCTGGGTGTATCTGTGTGTTTTTTTTGTTTTTTTTCTTCTTGTATGTTCCTGCCTGTGTACATGACATAAGCTGCTGCTCATAACCAATTGCCCCTTGCGGGATTAATAAAGTTGTTGATTGATTGATTGATAAACTGCATGTTTGTGAAGGAATCATTTTCTTTGGAGCCAAGAGGGAAACCACACTAAAATGACTCAACATGTTTCCTTACCTTATTGTCATATGAGCACCATATCAGAGAAGCAGTCATTGGCAGTGAACATCTTGGATACAAATGTATGAAATGGAATTTTAAAATGAGAATCTAAGACCTAAAATAGTGCAGGACTCAAATATTAACATGTAGACATTTAAATGTTTTTTTTTTTTTTTTTTTAGCTCATAGTCTGCAGGGTTTCATTTCTAGCCACATTTTGAAAAACACATGCTTGAACAAAGCTATAGGTCAGGATATAGTGATTGTGAAAACTTGGCAGCTGTAGAAAGTTACATTTCTTTCTCCAGGAAACAGAAAATATAAAACAACAACATTTTTTAAATGCATCCCACCCATCCAACCTGCATGGCAGCATCCTTCACTCCAGCAGGGGGTGGGTACTTAAGTGGCAGGCGGGGTGGTTGCTAAGGCTGAAGTGTCTCTAGCTGCCTGAGACAGAGACCCAGAGGAGGCTAAACTTCACTCTGCGCTGACACAGCTGACCTGAACAGGTGAGAACAAAATATGGTGCAGAAAAAGTCTTCAACTTCTAATTTCATGTTCATTGGCTATGCAGGGTTAAGGGCTCATTACAAAGTCAGAATTGCTTTCATTTTCTATGCATAATGGCTTTGACCTGGTTAATTGGAGCTGACACAGCCCCACCAAAGGAGATTAAAGCACAAAGTGCAGGTCAAAATGTCAAGAGGGGCTAAAAGAGAATTTAATATATGCACACACTGTACATATATCTAAATTCTCTTTTAGCCCTATCACACTGATAGGACACCAGCTGTAAACACAGAGCGGGTTGAGAGCCTGAGCAAAAGAGCAACTAGTAAATATGGAGACTTAATATGTGGGAGAGAATTTTACAGAACTCTGTCACCTCTTTTTTTACTCAAGGTGAAATTATTCAGTTTCTATTTAAAGCATAAAATGAGAGTGCATGAGAAAAGCATAGAAATAGTTAATTATAATATATCATAGCTCCAAATGTTGACACTAGTCAGTGTAATACATGACAAGTGCTTGAATGTCACTTTGAAGAGTAGGTGGATTCACATCAGAATGCGTAGGACGGGTCGTGTATGAGATGTTGTGTCTTTGAATTGTGAGCATATAGAAAGAGAAAAAGGTAAAAGGAAGCAAATAAAGTACAAGATATATACTGTAGATGAGTTGTATTGCTGTTATATTTGCTGTTTCACTTAAAAATACAAATCTTGGATAAAACATTGTTTTTTAAATCTCATCAGGTTAAACATCTGAGCAAATATCAGCATCATGTCACAAGGTAAGTCACACTTGAATTCAATATTTTATTATTTCATCCATTTATAAGATTTGAAAAGTATGTGAGTATTGCTGATACCAACCTAGTGCTGACAGAAAGTGTGTGTGTACGTGTTTGTGTGTGCGTGTCTTTGTAGCGGTTGACAGGAACAAGGTGTTCAAAACCACCAGGGTGCGGACTTCACTGAAGAATGATGAGTGTTGGATCCAGAGGGCAAAACAGGAAAAGAAACAGGAAGAACTAGCAAGGTATTCTGCGTGGTTAAGATTCTACATTTATCATGAAATGTTGATTTAAATCAATATAATTATCACAAATTTAAATCTGATTCTATCTTGCACTTTACAGATGTGCTATAGAGTTGCAAGGCGTGGTTAATGTTTTTTTCTCAGTACTCTTTAGCTTTTCTCATTGCAAGAATTGACTTGTTTAGAGAGAAATGGTGCAACAAAGATGCTGCAAACTAACAACTTGTTTCTGTCTTGCAGTACCGACCAGGCTGTGGTGAGCAGACCCTCTCCGGCCAGACTGAGCTCATACGTCCTGTCCACAGTCAAGAGATTTGAGTGAGTACCTGCATGTTGTTGCCTTGAAAGCAAAAAATGAACACGCATACAGTAATTCTATAAAACCACCAACACATTCATATAAACCCATACCAAGGTTTGTCCAGCAGGTGGCGCCATGATTAACAGTATCTAAAGCTTTGAAACTGATTTATTTTCAACATCAAGTGCTTCACAGTGATTTGGAAAGCTTCTCCACATCACTAGTAAACATATAAGACACTATTTTATTCAAAAATATAATGCATAATTGGTCTTTTCTTTTATGGATTTAACAAACTAGTTATTTTTTAGGTTTGAAAAAGCAGTAAAGCTAAATCTTGTAACAGTTAAATATTAGACCCGTCTGCCACATCTTGTGTTTATACATATTTGTGCAGAGAGCCATATTGATACACCGTGGTGGCGTTGAACTTTTCCTTTTGACTGTTGCGTCAGTGAATAAAAAAACTATGAAGGCTGCAGGCACTAATCCCCATCTGTGATGATAACATACATAAACATTAATTTAGCCATGGGCAGCTGCTGCTTCCATAAGGACCCACAATGCACTGCAGGCCCACGGTAGCTGGCTGATGGAGCATTGATCTGAATGCCATTCTGACTCCAGTATTCCCCCCCAAGGCACACAAGAAAAACAACTGCTTTAACTCCACACCTACAGGCGCCACATGTACATTTTAAAATGTAATTATAATGTATTTATTTACCAGGAATCAATTTTAGTGTGTGAGTTTAATAAGAATCGTGTTGTGCTGAGCATAGTCACCATCATGATAAATGATCATATTTATATAAGTTGTTTTAAATATGCTTTGAAACATTCATTTACTGTTTGCAGTAGTTTTCCCCGCCAGTGTTTTGTTGCCAGCTGTACCTCTTGCATTGCGATTACATCACCTGAATGCAACACAGACACACACCCACACGTAATCACATCAAAGAATGATGACTAAATAGTTTGCTTAATAGTACACTGGCTTATGGAATATATGTAATGCAGAAATATTCAAAGAATATATTTATTCTGTTTAGTCTCCCTGAGATAATACTGCAGTGCTTATTCATTCATCTGTGTGAATGGAGAACATTACAATATTTCAACACATTTATCTTGAGACACTCCCCAATTTTAAAAGGGTTCAACTTTTCTGAACATTTCGTAATGGGCCGAGTACATTCACATGCTCAAGCAAAGGAAGAATATGATGCACGACTGAGATGAGTTAGCCGCCTCAAAGCGGGCTATCATTATTACCGAAAATACATTGTTATCCCTCTTGTTCTCGCTGTTTGTTTTATGGCAGATTTCAACATTTTGGAAAGAAACCCCTTAGAAACAACTTTTAAGTATTTCTTCTTTGCAAATCCTCTGCATGGATCAAAATAGATTTTGCAATTTCCCAAACGTACTAGTTCCTGTAAGTCTTAAAGAAGAGAATACAATGTTACCAAGTTGGAAATGTTTACATTTATCTAAGCATGTAAAGAACAGTAATGATAAGAATATAATCATTTCTTCAGCGGGAATATATTTTTTTAATTCATATCCCAATAAAACCCTTAATTGCCTAATTAAAATGTAATTTCAGAGAACTCTCCCCCAGGTTGGAAACTGCTAATGTGCAGCATTTAAATATTTTCAGTTAAATTCGAAATCTGAGAAAAACATTGACATTTAATTCATAAACGCACCTCTAGCCTCTGGCTCTCTGAGAGAAAGCTGAGGGAGGTGTTGCATCCTTTAGTTTTTAAAATGATCAGCCAGGTTTAGTTAGATAAAGCAGTAACTCTCATTCCTGAAAGGTTCTAATGTCCGACTGTGCAGTTATGAGTCTGAATGGGGGTCCAGCAGCTGTGAGCTCTCCCCCTCAGCTGATGGGGAAAGGGAGCATCCAGCTTCTGAGCCCATGCTCTGCGATGCCATTAAATGACCCTCGTTGAAAGCAAAGTGGTTCAGTGGGTAGATGCCACATTTCCTAAAGCCGTCCTTCACAATCCTCACACCCTCCTCTTCCTTCACCACCTGATATGTCTCTTTAAACACACCTGAGAACTCCTTCTTGCTGACAGCAAAGTGAGAATCAGGGGCACAACCATCGCCTACGAGGGCAGCAAAGCGCTTCTTCAGGAGAATGAAGAGGCCTGCTTCGAGTGGCTGCAGGATGTGAGAGCAGTGAGGGGGGAGGCACAGAAGGATGACGTCCTCCTTACGAGCTGCTTCCACCACCTCCAGGTTCACCGGAGACTTGTGTCCGTCGAAAATCAGCAGCAGCGGACGCTCCTTTGGTGCGTGCAGGAGGAAGTGTTTGAGGAACCATTTCTTGAAAAGGTCAGAGTTGATACACCCCAAGTTGGACCATCCATAGATTGCGTTTGAAGGCCCTTGAGTTTTGTAACATACTCCCCCTGGGTATGCCTTTGAGTAGATAATAAACGGGGGAATGTCCTCTCCAGCTGCGCTAAAGCAAGCCAGGACAGAGATGTGGTCTCTGGAGCCTGACGTTGGCTTGCAGCCCAGACTGGCAGATTTAGGCAGAATCACCCTCTTCCTGCCCAGCTGAAAGCCTGTCTCATTGCAGTTGAAAATGTGATGAGGCTTGTCTCGGAGCGCACGAGAGTCCATGACAGTGCTTAGTAAGTGTAAAAACGGATCCAATGCTTCTTTTCTCACATGCACTGTCCTCCCACGAACAACATTGTCTGCTGGCTGAATGGTGATATTCTTTTCTTGACGTTTTCTAAAATTGAGCCACCAGGTCTGGCCTAGTTTAGAAAACGCCACCCTCCGATGCTGCCGCTTGTAAATGGATGATGCAAAAGACACCAGCTGTTGCTTTGTGAGAGGGAAGCCATGCTTGGACATGTATAAAGAAAACTCCACCAACAGCTCCTCGTCCGCAGATGTTATAAGCTGAGCAGGCCCGCTGCGGCTCCCCGGTGTCACCCGTCCACTCACTCTGTCCCCCAGGGAAGACTTAGGGACTCCAAACTCTTTGGCAGCCTGTCTCACCGTACACCTCCCAGACTTCACCTCGATCAACGCACGCTCCATGGCCTCCTCCGTCCATTTCTTCTTCTTCTTCCTTCCAATTTTGTCAAGATGATTTCTAGATGGCATTTTTTCTAGGACATAAGGCACAGGACACTCAATATGAATAACACACATGATAAAAAGCATAATCATTTTAAAAAAGTGTAAGGAAAATCACAAAGCTCAATATAACCAATCATTTATACTAAAGGTTCTTATGAATTAAGTAATGTTGTGAAAGACAGAAAAGGGATCATAATGCTATTTTTTATCCATCCAAAACACATTACCAGCTCTGGATAAAAACCTAGAAATCAGTTTTTCGTCCTGATTATTTGTGAAAAGAGGGTGGTAACAATACACACAACTCAAGGTCCACATGCACAATACATGCAATGCTGTCAAGTCAAATTTGAAATACAGTATAATAAACAATTGACTGTTAATGTTTAATTTAAAAAATAAATATTATTGAGAGATTTAAAGATAATGTTTCAACCATGTTTATCTTCAACATTATTTATATAAAAAAAATGGAAATCCATTTGTTTTCCACCGATTTTACAGTAACACTTTCCATGTTATTTTAGTAAAGACATACATGCATTTTTTATAGCCTACTAAAATAATATTGCACTAGTAATTTCATTAACCGTCAAAGCTCTCCATGTGCGTAAAGAAACCTGTTAAAAATACCAGATTCCTAATTTGGGAGTCTTTGGAATAATGTTTAGTTACTGGGGGACAGATGATCACTGTCTTGTGCTGGTTGAGAGTTCTGTTAATGCATCTATGGTCGCCCACAGTAACGATACTGTTTGTCGGGTACCTAGAATAATGTGAAGCCAGGTGGTTTTTTTATGACTAAATTGCGCTCAAAAATGCAAACCCATTGGCAGTGTTACGTCTACAGTCGTAGCTACATTTCTGTAGGTTTCAAAAAGTTTAAATTAGGCGGTCATGTCTTACCAGCACGCACGTTTTCACTGTCTAGCATGAAACGGCTAGCAGCTAGCATCACAAGCCAGGGAAAGCGGAAGACAACCGGAAGTAAAGTGTTAGTGTCTCCAAAATAAAAGTTTTGAAGTTCCTGTTACACAAATAAGTGTCAAAATGTATAGATGTTCAGATCAAATCTATTCATTACATCACAATGCTTATATGACGTGAAACTATTATTGTTAATTATAATCAAACAAACAACAACACAACATAACCTCACATTCTAACACCATCTTACTCTACTTTTATGATGTTGCACAATGTAGGCCTATGTGTTTTTCCATGACAGATTAAGATAAATATGTATTGCTATGACACAATGGCAATTCGTTTGAATGATTAGTTTCAGTCACTAAATCATTGCAAATGTTCACACTCTTATTTTAGTGTTTACAGCTAGACCATGGCTTTAACATCTATCATAATGTAGTGGTCATCAAGATGTTTTGCTACTGCAAGCATGATTGACCCAATCCAATTTTGGCTGCCATCTATTACCAGCAATGTCTATATACAAAAGAAAAACACTGGAACCAATTGACTCATGCCTCTAACTTGTGCAATAAAACAGGTCCACCCCCACACTGTTCAAGGTGTTTGGTGATATTTACATCGTTAATAAGCATTCTGTTGTCATTTAAAGCTCTATTTGTCAGCTTTGCTTCATAAATCAATGTAGCTGGTCATTTTTTTCATATTTCTTTTTACATGCTGGTGTCCTTTCTCTGTGATTTGTTGTGCTCATCGTCTAATGTAGGTCAGACTTTTTATGCAAGTTTTTATAGGTTATAAAGCTAAACCTGTCACTAAGGCTATAAAAGAAGAATGAAGAGTCATATTTGGGAACTGCCACATCTCATCTTCCTTTACTGATGAGGTTTTATCTGTTAACACTATACAGTAAGAAAGAAGTGACCTGTTGTTATGTTGTGCATAACACTTTTACGTGCACAGAATTTAAACCATCTCGATATGGAGCATTTGGTTTTAATGGCAATTTTCAGCTTAAGTAGTTTAAACCTGATTTGTGTATATTGTTTGTGAATAATTATTAACAAGATATATTTAGCTATTTTGGTATTGTCTGCTTTAAGGTTGTAAATGCTAAGGTTGTTTTCAAAGTTTGTTTCATATTCTCCCCCTTAACATAACATAACCTCACATTCTAACACCATCTTACTGTACTTTTATGATGTTGCACAATGTAGGCCTATGTGTTTTTCCATGAAAGATTAAGATAAATATGTATTGCTATGACACAATGGCAAATACAAGAGAAAAACACTGGAACCAATTGACTCATGCCTTTAACTTGTGCAATAAAACAGGTCCACCCCCACACTGTTCAAGGTGTTTGGTGATATTTACATCGTTAATAAGCATTCTGTTGTCATTTAAAGCTCTATTTGTCAGCTTTGCTTCATAAATCAATGTAGCTGGTCATTTTTTTCATATTTCTTTTTACATGCTGGTGTCCTTTCTCTGTGATTTGTTGTGCTCATCGTCTAATGCAGGTCAGACTTTTTATGCAAGTTTTTATAGGTTATAAAGCTAAACCTGTCACTAAGGCTATAAAAGAAGAATGAAGAGTCATATTTGGGAACTGCCACATCTCATCTTCCTTTACTGATGAGGTTTTATCTGTTAACACTATACAGTAAGAAAGAAGTGACCTGTTGTTATGTTGTGCATAACACTTTTACGTGCACAGAATTTAAACCATCTCGATATGGAGCATTTGGTTTTAATGGCAATGTTCAGCTTAAGTAGTTTAAACCTGATTTGTGTATATTGTTTGTGAATAATTATTAACAAGATATATTTTGCTATTTTGGTATTGTCTGCTTTAAGGTTGTAAATGCTAAGGTTGTTTTCAAAGTTTGTTTCATATTCTCCCCCTTTAGAGCAATAGACTCTCCACCGAGCACTATCCTCCAAACGGCTCCATCTGAAGGGTATAGTATAGGCTATGTGTTGCATTTTAATGAAAAATTATTTATGCAAACTATGAGCAGCATCCACAGTCCACTTGTTTCTAGCATTAATGCATTATTATTCTCAATTATTCAAAAAATGTAAACTTTAAATAATGTGTATATATTACATGATCATTATTAATATTCTGCTTTATGTTTTTAGCGATTCAGCAAATCATGCAAATGGTGAAGTTATTCCCCAAAAAGATGCACAGCCTGAGGGGTCAACAGTGGGGCCCACAGACGATGCAAAGTTAGTATTTTAGCGCATCTCTCTACTGATTGTAACTGCTTCTGATTTTAAGGATTTTTTTTCATGTATTTTCTGAAAAATAATGAAGACCCTTTATTACAGGACCCAAGCATCCACTGAAGAACTGAATGTTGAGGCACAAGTAGAAACATCAGTTGCCAACACAAATGCAGAAAACAAGGAAGAAAATGCTGCAGAGAACAAGGCAAATGTAGAACCAATTAATGATGTTGCGGAGCTTCATTTTGCAGAACGTATCCAAAATGATGAAGCCCTAACAGTTTCTTCAACACAGGGAAATCCAGAGGCAGTGTCTGATGTGAAGACAGCTGAGCAATATGTTGCCAATGCAACTGCAGAAATCAAGGAAGATCAAGCAGATGCAACAATTGAGCAGCCAAAAATAGAACTCGATGAGCCCAGGGTGGCTACAGATGCTCCTTCGGAAGATCCTGCTGCAGAAACCTCTGCTGCGGCAAGAACAGAGGAGAGCAAAGGCATCACTGAAGTCCCTGAGGCCCCTGTGGTCAAACTGAAACCTGAAGAGCAACCTTCAATCGAAACAGAGTCGGCAAATGTGACACATTTGGAGGGGGGAGGAGCTAAATCAACTGCTCAAACTGCAAAGGAAAGTTGTGAGAAAGGTCTTCCAGAACAGGCAGCAGAAGTTGTTGAAGCTGTGGCTGAGGATGTGGAAAATGAAGCGTTAGCTGAGGCTGCTGTAAAGTCACCAACAGATGGGCCTGCTGTTACAGATGCAGCAAGAGAAGAGTCTCCTATCCAAGTCCGTGTTGAAACAGTCCCTGACTTAGTGTCCGCTCAACCTGCTGCTGAAATGGCTACAGAGGGAAGTTGTGACAAAGGTTCCCGGGAACTGGCTGCAGTAGAAGTTGTTGAAGTTGTGGCTGAGGCTGCTGTGGAGTCTTCACCTGAGGCGGCTGCTGTTACAGATGCAGCAGGAGAAGAGAGTGTTACCCAAGTCAGCGTGAAAACTGTCCCTGACTTAGTGGCAGAATCTGTTTCTGAAGTGCCGGCTCAATCTGCTGCTGAAACAGAACAGGCGGCAGTAGAAGTTGTTGAAACTGTAACTGAAGTGTCACCATCTGACACGAGTGACGTTGTTAATGCAACACCAGGAGAAGTGGCTGCTGTCCAAGATATTGTTGAGGCTGTAGCTGAGGTTGCTGTGGAGTCATCTCCTGAGACACCTGCTGTGACCATTGTGGCAGGAACAGAGGCTCCTCTCCAAGTCAGAGTTGAACAAGTTCCTGACGTAGTGGCAGATACTGTTTCTGAATCTCCTACGAAAGCTGAAACTGCAGTCAAGTCTGTAGAGTGTGAGGTCAAGTCTGCACCCTCAGCAGAGACTGTTTTGGAGTCCAAAGCCGAACAGGTAGCTGAAGTCCAGACTGTTGATAACACTGTTGTCGAGCAAATAGTTGAACCGACACCTGAGAAAGCAGCAGATCTTGTGACGCAGTTGAACATCGAGGATGCTCTTCTTGAACCTGTACCAGCTTTAGAAGACGTTCAGGATAAGTCCACTGACAGTCCTGTTGAACAGTCAAAGGCATTGGACGTGGAGCACCCTCAAAACTGAAGCTGCACCCGAGCCTCAAGATGATCCTAAACCTGCCGACCAGAACCAAAACTCCGATGAGGCCAACAGGTGAGTTAGCTCTGAAAGCTCAAGAGCCACTGTTAAATTCATTTTTGCTGATGCTTTTTTAATTTTAAATCTTTGACATATTTCAAAATTCCACAGCGTTAATGTAATAACTTATTACAACCTCTATTATAGACCGTAAGTTTATACACAAAGGTTAACATTGGTAATAATCTTATTTTAACTTTTGTCCTTACTGCAGGAATACCAATGTTTGTTCGTACTGTGACAAATTCATTGATGGAAATGTGAAGTTCTTCCTCAATGAACCTGTGATGACCTACCACCCTGACTGTCTAAAGGTTTGTTCTGTTAGTTCGGCAACATATATGTATCATATTATATTTCGTCATTGTATAATGTTAATATTGAGTATGTTTTTGCAGTGTGGCGTGTGTGCTATGGCCCTGGGAGATTTGCTGACCGCCATTTTCTTGCGTGGCCAAGTGATCCATTGTGGTGGCTGCTTTCATAAAACTCTTGTGATCTGAAGCCTAACTTGGACAAGGTGTCGCTGGAGAAGACTCAAAGTGATTGATATCCTGTATTGTTTTTGAACCAATTTACCTTCTGAAAGTTTATTTAAGACATAGTTTATTGTTAGAATGTAAGAGCATGTTACTTTTAGTAGAAATAACCAAAGATGCTGGCCTAAAATACAATCAACATAAAATATTTGTATGGCGACAAACTGTATATGATTGAATAAAATCACATTTAACTGTTCCAATTGTAAATGGTTTATTCAGCCTTAATTAAAAACACACAACACAACCTTCTCACTAAGTAGCAGGGCTACACATTAAACACGAGTCACCTGGAGGCACGTTATTGAAGCATCAACACCACAGTAACATAAAAACAGCCTTTTTAAGCAGAAACCCCAAAACATCCATAAGAATACACCTCCTTGTTCCCCTCCTACACAGTGGCATTTAAACTAAGCAGAAATGCATTGAGTGAATGCAAAGTGAAAGCACAAAGGGAGATGGGACGATACACCTAACCCAAACATAGATCTCTGGTTCCCTTGCTTTAGTTCACATGAGGTTGCTACACAAGATGGTGATAATGAGGCAGCAGCAAAATCATATTCAGATCCAAAATATGCATCAGTAAACACTGAGCAGAGTGCATGCAGTTATGATTTGCAAGGCGAGCAGTCATTGCTCTTAATTATTCATGAAACGTCAACAGCATCAGCACCAATAAAGCTTCATAAAATAAACTCAAATGCAACCTGCGAAATAAAAAATGAACAACAAAGCTGAGAGAATCATCTTAGAGGAGGATGTGAGGAGGAGGCCGGAGCTCGCTGCGGGTGAGAATTATCTTCATCTCTCTGTCTGTTGTTCAGTGATGAGAAACATTTGTATAAATACATATTATAGCAGGTTTGGAAGGTGCTGTTTCCCAGGAGGAAGTCTGGTGTCGACTGTCCATCTCAAGGCCAGAGGAGGGGGTTCACTGGGACGGAGGTCTTGACCTTAGCGGACCCCTTTCCTGCCCAGGAACCGCAAAACTGCGTAGTTGTAGGTGGTGGCCGCCAGATAGACAAACTGCAAAGGAAAATATTGAAACATAAGATGAAAAAACAGCATGGGTACATCTCGCACTACAACAGTTTGAAATCATCTTTTTAAAGTGTTAATTCACCCAAATCCACACCAAATAAATCCTACCTCACTCAAATGGTATAGCCATGCAGGAAGTTTTGTTAATGAGTTTTCCAAGATTTGAGAAATAGATTTCTGGGATTTTAGCTGCCAGCCCACACACAGGTGGATTTTTTTCATCACTGAAAATAAACTTTGATGTGTGTTTGTTTCTCAGGATAATCCACATACTTTGCTTTGAACAGTATTGGTACTATTGGAACAATTTTCTTTGGCAGAAAGGAGTTCCACCGAGAGAGATAATAGTGAGGCCTTAAAAGAGGTGTTTCTCCTGAAAGTCATTTTTCAATGGTTTGAGTATCACAGAATAACATTTTTTATTCCATTGTGTTGGGGCGTCAGTCATCCTCAATCATCTCACAACCTGACCAAACTAATCCAAAGCCTTCTTCATGGCTATATAAAGCTCATTATGTATTTCTGGTATTTGAGTGAGTGACCCTTTATTTACGAGTACAAAGGTAATATTTACAAGGGCACCTCACATCAAGTTCATATTCATGACCTTTATTTGTCCCCAAGGAACAACAACACAATACAAATCAACA